AACAATTTCACTTTACTCTTAGCCTTCCTGAGTAAGTAAAAGCAAAAGTTGGACTGGCTGTGGTGTTAACAGGCTTCCTAATATGAGATCAGAGAACTCTCCAGTCAAACTCCGACTTCATTCCTTGAACTTCTGAGAAGGTCTCCAATAGGAAGCAAAGTTTGGAGCAGAGAGAACTGAAGTGTTCCGGGACAGTTAGTTCCATTTGTTATTTCTAGCCTGTGTGTGTTTACCTTGTGTCAGGGCACCAGACGACTCTTTTGTGTGTGCCATGTGTGATACATGATTTTACTTAAAAAGGATATTAAGTGAATATTATTAAAATGCATTCTCATTAGTGCAGAGGGGGATGTAGAAAAAAGGTATTACAAAAATCAATGCTATTGCTGCAAAGCAGTTATCTAGTTAGCTAACATAACTAGCAAAGATGGTTGTGGATAAAATGCTACAAAATGAAATGTCACTAGAGTGTATCCAAGAAAACACAGGTTAACCATCATGGGTAAAGGATTAAGTTTTCAATATTTCTTTTGAAACTCTTGTTTCTAAACTAAAAACTATATCCATTAAAATATAAATGAGGTGACCTGTAATGATATACCTTAAAACAGTTTTAAATTAAATTACTACTTGATTCATTGTTACTGTTTCAGATTGTAAACACATTGCTAGACAAAATGATGCTGTGTCTATAAAACTTGTAAATATGACTTTTTAAATAAGTATCTCACTCACTACTAAAGCATTCCCCCTTTTTTTTTTTTGGAGACAGAGTCTTACTTTGTCACCCTCAGTAGAGTGCTATAGTGTCACAGTTCACAGTAACCTCAAACTCTTGGGCTTAAGTGATTCTCTTGCCTCAGCCTCCCTAGTAGCTGGAACTACAGGCACCCACCACAACGCCGGTCTATTTTTTGGCAGGCCCAGGCTGGGTTTGAACTCACCAGCCCCAGTGTATGTGGCCAGCGCTATAACTGCTGAGCTACAGGCACCAAGCCCACTAAAGCATTCTTGATGAAATTTAAGAATAAAAATGTTTAACATTTATAATTTTGTGAGATTAAGTATTTGCTTATTAAACTATCAGAAAGACAAGTAAAGATAGGAATGGCAATTATGAATTATGTGGTTAAAGAAATCCTGCTGCTAAGTTTATTTAAAAGAAGGGCTACTTGATTTTTGAGAAGTTACCAACGACCCTAATTCGTTTGCTGTATGTAGCTCTCTATGGTATAAGCAGGAAAAAATGTAAAACATTCCACATGAAATATGCAGAAAAACTTCTAAAGAGTTTTTAAAATACATTTAATTATTTAATAAACCCTGTTACCAAGATGAATTTGAAATAATTTAAAGTGTAGCCTTAAAATATGTTTGAAAAAGTTTTTCTGTGCATGTTAATATTCTAAGTGAATAGCAATTCTGTATTTTAATTATGTATCTTCCCCCCCAAAATTTAGAAAGCTGTCCCACATAATGTTATGCTAAATCTTAGCATTTATTAAAATTATTATATTATATAATTAGTATTGTATTATATAACTATAAAAAGCACAACTAATTCAAATGGCCTGGGATCTAATAGCAGAAGCAGGAGGTCAGTGAAGAGATTCCAGATGACTTAACAGGAATTATATTCCTAAATGTCAGAACAGCCAATATTAACTTGCTTTTTTAAGAACCAGATGTCCCATTATTTCTTCTATGATTTAATGAGGAACCAGAAGCTGGAATCCAGGAATGCAAATGAAAAATCATTAATAACTCTTACATGATATTCTACACGATGCTATTACCTTTAGAAAGTGCTCTCTCTCGGCAAGGTTGTAATATTAAACAAAGACGTGAAGAAGCACAGTGTCTGCAAATTTCAACTTTTCCTATTCCAAATTGATCAAATATATTTTGAGTTTTATATATTTGAGTGTTGTGTGTGTGTCTGTGTGTTTATGTGTGTTTGTATGTGTAATACATATGTACATATATACATGTGCTTACTCAGGAAGCATTATAATAAAATGGGAATATGTCATCCAGGGAACTTTAAACTCTCCATACAAAGGACTGAATGAGATATTTGTTAAGCCTTTCTATTAAGCTACCTATTTATTTTTGGTGATGTACCAACCAAAAGAATGAGTTTGGACTGAGCCTGTCACTAGTAGAGGTTTTCTTTATTTTTCTTTCTTTATTTTTTTATGAATAGTAAGCACATAGATCATGTATACATGAATGGACTGATGGGGTACAATGTGCTGATTTCATATAGAATTAGGAATGCGTACATCACACTGGTTAATATATACCTCATCTAGTTTACTTAATTACTGTTTATACTCTGTGCTAATAGATCTGACATGTACCCTTGCATTAGGCACCATCGGTGTGATCCCACCATTCACCTTTCCTCTTCCCTCCCATGGCCCCCTCCTCCCTCCTTGATCTTGGGCCACAGTTGTGATCTATTCTTCATATGAAAGTGTGAGTGATTGTAAACTGGTTTCATAATACTACTGAGTACATTGGATATTTTTTCTTCCATTCTTGAGATACTTTACTAAGTAGGATATGTTCCAGTTCCATCCATGTAAATGTAAAAGAGATAAAGTCTCCATCTTTTTTAAGGCTGAGTAATATTCTATGGTATACATATGCTACAGTTTATTAATCCATTCATGGGTCCATGGGCACTTGGGCTTCGTCCATGACTTGACTATTATGAATTGAGCTGCAATGAACAATCTGATGCAAATATCTTTTTTCTGAAGTGATATTTGGTCTTTTGGATATACACCTAGTAGAGGAATTGCAGGATCAAATGGCAGGTCTACTTTTAGATCCCTGAATATTCTCCATACTTCTTTCCAAAAGGGATGTATTAGCTTGCACTCCCACCAGCAGTGCAGAAGTATTCCCTTTTCTCCACATCCACGCCAACATCTGTAGTTTTCGGATTTTGTTATGTGAGCCACTCTTACAGGAATTAGATGATATCTCAAAGTGGTTTTGATTTGCATATCTCTGATGATTAAGGATGATGAGCATTTTTTCATGTATCTGTAGGCCATGTGCCTGTCTTCTTCAGAGAAGCTTCTGTTCAAGTCCTTCACCCACAAAGAAATGGGATTACTTGTTCTTTTCTTCTGCACCAATAGTGGAGAAGTGTTCCCTTTTCTCCACATCCACACCAACAGGAGAGGATATTTGCAGGTTATGCTTCTGACAAAGGTTTGATAACCAGAATCCACAGAGAACTCAAGCTTATTAATAAAAAAAAGAACAAGTAATCCCATTTCATTGTGGGCAAGAGACTTGAACAGAAGCTTCTCTGAAGAAGATAGTTGCATGGCCTACAGACACAGGAAATAATGCTCATCATCTTTAATCATCAGAGAAATGGAAATCAAAACCACTTTGAGATATCATCTAACTCACAGATGAGTAACAGTGGCTCACATAACAAAATCTAATAGAGGTTTTCAATTTTGAGAATGTTCCTATACCCTTCCTTGACAGAACAAAACAATAATAACTAAACCCAAATAATTGTGGCTTTCAGACTTAGAGATCATATCCTGTGTAATGGAATGAGTGTCAGGACGTTTCTGCTTATTTTCATCAGATAATGAGGTACCATGCAATAGTGAAAATAGTGCTTATCACTTAACATTAAAACCTAGTGTATTGGGGGGAGGGTCATGGGTTTTATATGTTCAGTCAGGTTGTCTGATGAAAACACATGTGCCATTTTTGAAGTTGTAATTTGTGATGGTGCCCAAGATCAAATAGCTCTTCACTGAATAGTTATCTTCTACGAAACTCACTTGATTAAGCGTCTCTCTTCCTTCTCACAGGGAAGACAGGGTTAAGAAAGAGAAACAAAGAAGGTAGAATCCTGACAGATGGAGAGGGGGTTCTAAGGCAGTCTGCAGAGATTGCACGTGTTAATGTTTTTGACAAATTTAAGGTACTATTTTTTCTCTCAGCCCCCTTGAAAAACATTATCAGCCACAGCAAAGGAACAAAGGACAATTATTTCTCTCCTTCACTTTGACATTTGAATCACAATAGAAATTTGTGATATTTCTAACCCGGCTAAGACAGAGCAAAGTCAAAATGCAGGACTCAGTCTCAGTGTAGACTAGTTAGAGTCTGTGAACAGCAGCTGGAAAAAAGCGGGCGGGTTTTAGATGGGTGCGGAGCTAGGGGACATGATCCCACTCCTCTCCCACGAAAATCTGCAAAGCCAGAGTTCTCAATTCTCATAATTGGCTGAAAACAGAAAAGGAAACCCAGATCTAGATTTCACATAGCGTATTCATTTTCAGCAATACTTAGAAATGTGTACATTGCAGGAATTATTGGCAGAAATTTGTACTTTGGTGAGTCAAAAATTGATAGTTTACTTTAAAATGCAAGGATCAAGAAGTGACTGTCTGATAAAGACAGTTGATAAAATTTCACTTAACTGCTCTTTGGTTGGTGAAGTTCAGTTTTTTTCTCCTTGAACTTCTCAAATCTGATTCCATTAGAGTCAGTTTACGTTTCCCAGCATAATGATGCATTTTACCCATTCAGCTTTGCCAGTGTTCTCCGAAGCTGGCCAGCAATGATCTCACCTCACCTACGGTATAAATCTATCAGTGCATAAACAACACCATTTTTATTTCAATGCCGATGACACTCTACATGTCGATTTGGCAGTTAAATAATTTATCTCCCTTTTGGGCGCAATCTGCCAGGCTGATTATAACTCCACTTCTGATATTCATTTCATGTTTAATAGTACTTTGCCTCATGAGGATGCTTGTCAATCAATTAAATTGAAATGTCATTCTGACCTTTTATTGGAAACAATTTACTCTTTCTTCATTCCATCACATGCTATTTTCCCCTTTATTCAAATTAAAAGCCTTAATTACTGGTCTTCAGAAACTTTGTGCTGATTAACCTCACAAAACTACGTGCTCCTCAACCTTCCTGACACTTTACTCCCACAGAGGTGATCCACTTGAGTCTGCCTGAGGACCAGAAGCTTAGCGTCACCGCAGCCACCGTGGGACAAAGTGCTGTTCTGAGCTGTGCCATTCAGGGAGCCCTGAGACCCCCCATCATCTGGAAGAGGAACAATATTATTCTAAATAATTTAGACTTGGAAGACATCAATGTGAGTACACAGAGTGGCTTTATAATGTGTGCCTTTCACTGGCTATACTCCAGACTTTGTGAGGTCTGGGAAGCTTAAGGAGTATCAGACGTAGCGTAAAAGATGATTAATGAAACATTGCTATATCTGTTCTTCTGACGGGGAGGACCCTGTGGACCATTTGGAATTTCTCAGATCAGCTGTACGGTAAGCATGTTATGTTGTAATATGTTGGTAAAAAATAAATTGGTGCACAGAGACTGCCTATTAACTTTTACAATGCAAGTACTCATCCTATAAATTTGTATCTAAGAGTTATTTCTATAAATATACTAAGAGAATTCAAGTACATAAAGTTAGAACGCCATCACTAGGTGGCATGTGATTATATACATGAGTGTATGTGTCTGTGTGTGTGAAATGGGATTCTGTACAGATCAGTGGCGGGGATTTACATGAGCTGATATGAAAATATAGTATTTATATGTGCTTCTATTAAATTACATACTCCATGTACTACCTTACACAATGCTTTCATCAATGTAAAATATAAAATATATATTTTTTACATGTAAAAATTTTCTAGAGCCATATATGAAATGATTCACAGAGTATGTTGTAAAAATAGAAATAACCTTCAGAATGGAAGGTATATTTAACTCCAAGAGATAGCCTTTTGTCCTTTTGCACTTCTAAAAGATGCATATATTAATTTTGTGTAAGAAAACATTTCTTGAAATAATAGACAATGTGGTTACTTATTGTGTTCTGATATCTATGGGATACATTCTAGGAGTCTGTGTGTCTGGCAGTGCCCAGCTTTTGCTTAAAGAGTTACTGGGAGCAAGAATGTAACACTCTGATTGGCCACTCCGGGGTTGCATATGTTTAAGCTTATAACAAAGTTATAAGTACCTTTGTTGCATATAACTATAACAAAGTTTATAGTACCTTTGTTGCATATAACAAAGCTTAAAGAGTTACTGGGAGCAAGAATGTAACACTCTGATTGGCCACTGGGTCAAGAGGGACCCACTCACATGGATCCATCTGTATTACTATGGAGCAAGAGCTCTGTAATTTCTCAATAAATGTGTAGGGCAGGAAAAAAGGATTAGAGCTCCTTTGTAGTCTATAAGTCTTAGTGCATCATCTCTAAAAATCATATTTGTGTGTCAAAGGTCTGAGTGTCAGAATTTCTATAATTACTAACCATCTCTATACAGTGTTGCTATGGCTGAGAAACAGCCTATAGCTTGTGAAGAGTTAGAAAGACAGTAAAAGAAATTTGTACAATAAATACTTCATAATGTATTAGGAACAAGAAATATTAATCTAAATGAAAAATATTTTATTTTTCTAGAATGAAGGAACATGTTTTTCTACTCAGGCTTGTTCCTGGGGATTCAAAATTTAAATGCAATGCCACCTGCCACCGGGGGCACCTTCAAAGGTGAACATGTCGGGGCAGGGGGCCGTCTGCCCTTGGTTCTTTGCAACATGTCAAGTCCAACTTCCTGGTTCTGGCTGCTTAGGAAGGAAGAATCACCAGCAGGGCTAATACCATGGAGTGAGCACGGCAGCGATCTCACATGAACATTTCTGTACCCTCAAATGGAAAGTGTCTGTCTGGGGAAACAGGGAGACAGAGACTGATTAACTCGTTCCCTCACTCCCTTTCTCTAGTTTTTTTCTTTTGTTTCCCCAGTCTGGGGGAGGGCTGATAAAAGTGCAAGATGTTACAGCATCTATCCTCAACCTGCCTTGAGCTCCGGCTCCCGATGCCCGCCTGGAGGAGGTGCAGGGAACTCCCACGCTGATAAAGTGTCCCCTCCTTTCTCAGCTCCAGTTGCTTTGGAGAGGATTAGGGTGGGGCAACACCTACTGGAGTGCCCACCCTTAGTCTTCTTCCCAGGTAGAACAACCGCTCCAGACAGCACCAAAGCAGAGAACCCTGTTCAGAAGAGCTGGAGAGCCCATCTACCTAACAAAAAGAGAACGGGGACAAACGCCAGGGCCTTCATCTGTTCCTTCCATGGTATCTGTTTAAAATGAGCAGAAAAAGTGAATATCCATGGTGTCCCTTCTTCTCTGCTCTGTCCACTAGGCTTGAAGTAGTCTCCAAAGTAATTGAAAAAAGCCAGTGAACTTTTAGCAAGAAAAAGAGTTTATTAATGATTTGCATAGCAAGCCAGCTCCATCCTCATTACTGCAGGGCCCATGGAAACCAAAGTTTTGGATTTTATACACAACTTGGAGGAGTATCATCTGAGTCTTGGAAGTCTTGCAGGGTCTTAATTAACTCTGTTCTCAAAACATCCCACTTGCAAGGTCTTAAAAACAACCCACCTGCAAGATGTTAATCAGCCTTATTCCCACAATAGCCCAAATAAGCCTGACCCCCAACAACACAAAATGTCCTAACAGCATCCGTCATCTGCCTTGCTCATATCTAGGTAGCTACCTAGCAGGGATCTGAAAGAGGCAAGCCCATGGATAGTGGTTAGGACCCGACCCTTTCATCAGACACATTGTTTCTCTTCATTGTCTTTTGCTTGTGGTTATGTTACCATACTTAACAACTCATACTTCATTAAATTGGTTAGAAGTGAAAGCTCACCTCCATCATATCAAAGTGAAGAGATGTGGTTCCCAGCGGAGGGGCCAGCCTTAGGTGAACTAAAGAAAAAAATGTTGACAGTTTTGCTCACTTTTTTTTGTTACTTGGTCTGTGTACAGGACAGATTGACAACTCCTTAGTGAGGATTCCCCAGGCTGTCGCCTCTCCTGTTGCTGTCTTGCTCCTGGGTGTGTTATCCGAAGTATTTATGATTTTGCAGCAAATAGCTCCTAAGGTTACCTCCAAGGTGCTTGGAGCTCTCAAGTTTTCCAGCCTAGCCTCATATCAGAGGTGCACAAAGCAAAAGCCCCCTTCACCTCGTCCATCCTCATAGTTGTAGCTATCGCTCAAGCTCCTTTTCACCTGATAATCTGTACCTTCCATCTAAAATATCACCTCAATTCAGCAGGAAGTAGCTTGATGACGACATTGTCCCTCCTCCCCTAGATATGAGAGGATAAATTTGACAGATCAGGATATGTAAGGTTATCTGAAAAGGATAAAAATGTTTCTGTCTCTTCAAAACCCCCTTACCCTTTTTGTGAACTAAAACCTACCTCAGGTCATGCCCCAGAGGGGCAGGGAAGTGCTCTTTGTTCTTTGTGCCACACGATTTGGCGTGTATCTGGGCAGAGGTCGCATCTTAGTAGAAGATAAATCAGAAGCATCCCCTTCAAAAGCTCTGTATTTCTGCTCAGAAGCAGGATGCTGATAATTTGAGATGGGAATGTATCAGCCTCCTCATTCACTAGCAAATTAATAAACTCCTCTTTCCTTCTCAAAAAAAAAAAAAAAAAAAGGTGAACATCATCCTAGAAGATGAAAGAAATAAAAATCTGGTGCTTACACAGTATTTGTGGAAATGAAGCGGGTCCATCCTTTGCCTTAGGAACTTTGGGGTTTTATGTTCTCTTTGCTTAGTTTTTGTCATTGCTCAAGAACGTCATCACCTTTTCACTTACGCTTTGCTGCTTCATAATGAATCCCTAAAATGCAGGTCCAAGGGAGAAGCCTAAACTCCTACTTCTTACATCTTTCCAATAGTTTTGTTTACTGTTCTAGCACATAACTATAAGAGGGACTCTATCTAACATATGCAAATATTGTAACTTAGTTGGTTGTACCCTCACATTGATACAGGGCTGGAGGCACCCCAGCTTGGCCTCAGCAGGGAGGTGCCACTGCCAGGGAGGACCTGCTGAGCTTTCCAGGGGGTACTGGTGCAGCAGATGCAGGAAGGTGAGGGCTGGAGAACCACATGCAGCAGACAGGGGCAAGCAAGGAGGAAGCCCACAGGTCCCTATATAGTTGAAGGGGACCAGGGCACAGCCCACACTGCTGCCCGTGCCAACCTTAGAACCACCCTTGGACCCAGGGAGACCTCCTCTGGCTGCCTATTCCCCTGTGAGCATTTGACAGGCCAAAAGGTGATTCAGAGTTCCCCCATCCAGGGATGAACAGGACCCCTTATTTCATAGGCCTGGACAACTTCATGAAGAGAATGGGCATTCACCTTGGCCTGAGTGGGACTGCAACCATTCATTAATGGGCTCATTTTTAAGCAAAGGGATTTTTCCATTTATTTGTTACCGAGTCCTAGCTAAATGTAACTACAAAGGACCCATGTGACTGCATATACCCTTAGATCAAAGACACAGGCATTGATCGTCTAACTTGGGTCTTTCCCTCTGCCTGGAGCTCTGGTGCTTTTCCTGTATTATTTTCTGGCTAGTAAATTCTATCTTACGTCTGATCTGTGGTCCATGGGTTCATTCTTCGAATCCATCAGACCAAAAACCTACTGAAGAAGTTGCAGTAACAACATTAACCTGAAATTAAAAATATAGGAAGGAAGCTTCTTTTTATTAGCTATAATTTTGATGGAATTTTCCCAAATTTGCTTACATTTGGAAATTTTTCTCAAAGTTTTTGTGGAGAATGGTGTTTAAATCTCTAACATATCAAGAACACTGAGCAGCTGTAATCTCAGGAGCATTCAGGATGCTTTGAGAGACAAGGCCCTAGACAAACTCATCATAGATTTGCTTTATGGTTTGTTACATCCATACTTCATATTTTGTTTTAATGACCATTCCCACTCTTAAGCTTCTCAAGTATTATTTTCAATAAACCCATGCATTTTAGGATGCTATATTCTGAAAACCTCAAAATAAGCTCATTTAGGTTGTTTCAAGCATATGGAAAAATATGCTGTGAGTGATCTTCTATGGATAACTTGCGTAAGGGGATACATTCTTGTGTACAGATCCTGTCAATTATTTTTCCTGCTTTTGAATTCTTGTCTGTTCCAGGAACTAAATATTTCTAAAAAAATGGGCCAGGCATGGCAACTCATGCCTGTAATCTTAACACTCTGAAAGGCTGAGTGTGGTGGATTGTT